GCCAATTGCATTTATATTCTAAGGTCTCTTAGAAAATGAAAGCATTAAAAAATGCGAGAACAGTTTTATACGACATGGCTATGCATGTAGATCGGCTAGCCAGATTGACAGAAACCTCGCAATCGTGGTTCACCGCCGAAGCGTTTTTGGTTAATCTTTGGATTATGGTAACTTGGCGATTTTTTGGCGAAAATTTGGCGACCAACCCTGCTACAGCAACATGCTAGTTTTTGTTTGGACGCCATTTTGTTTTCACGAAGTAAAGGCATGTTTTTTAACGTTTTTTTTTCCAACATTCTGCTAGCCGAATTACGCTTATGCTAGAACTTTTATGGAACAAAAGTGCTTAACCATGACGAAGATTAGGTGCGAAATTGGGAGAAAGTCCAGAATCACCCACTGTTTGCCGCGTTTTTAAGAATTGCACAGACACGGTATCATCGATGTACACATCAACCTATTTTCACTTAAAAAAACATCCCAGAATTGCACAAAAATGGCATTGCGCACACTCTTGACTTTATCCATGTACACTGCTAAAGTCCTAGCTAGTAACTTTTATCGCCTTACCAAAATGTCGCCAAACTACCTGTTACCATATTCCAAAGATTAGCCACGTTTTTGTTAGTACAACGGTGTTAACGATCGAAGAGCTACATAGTATAATCTATTTTATTTCAATTGTGTTGAATTCATCATCAACTGATTTAGAAGCAAGTCATGGATGTGAAAAGTGTTCTTTGTAAGCGAAACAATTCAAAGAAGGCCGAATGTCGAGAAAAGCAAACTAGAGTGGAACGAATCCCAAATTTTCTTAAATCCGAATCCTAAAAAATTCTCGGATCTTTCGAATCTCGAAATATATGAATTTTGATTATGGTAAAATAATAATACTTAGAAGAAATTTTAAAGAAAACTTTTTTTGTTTAAAAGTATTTAATGAAAGCACAATTTTAAAACTGTATTTAATGAAAAACAAATTTAACAATTCAAATACTTAAAAATACACCTGCACTTATTAAGAGGCATAGAAATGAAATTTAATAAATGAAGTACACGATTAAAACTACATTTTCGTAGTATCATTTGGTAAATAAAACGTCTGAGTAACAGTTAATAATTCAGTAATCGTGGCTGAAAATTTAATTGGTAGAAACTGGCATCATATGCGCGACTCCAGCGTTTTATATATCACGGAATAAATTGCTAGAAAACATCCGGAATTTACTAATGCTTTTACTTTTCATTGATTATGGGGTAATAAACTTGAGCTGCATGATTTGCTCTGTTTCTAAATCTGTCCCCTCACCCCCCAAAAAAGATGACTAGATAATTTCGTATCTAATCGCTGCAAGTAAAAGGTCTGTTACCTGTTATTTGCAATAACGGAGGAATTCTCGCATGGCAGAATCATCGATTGAGAATCACACCACCTCTTCCTGCCTCTGATAAGAGAAATAAAAAAACCCAAGGTCTACTATTCAGTTATGAGAAATTATAGGGAATGTGGAAGCGGGCGATTTCACGCATCCGGCAAGGCCACTTCCGCATCACGGACGATCGAGGAAGGGGTGCTGCTGCTCGCGGGCCCAAATCACGTGACTCCCGAGACTCTTCGACCTCGCTCTCAATCGGAGAGATCAGGGTTCCGCCCTGTTTTATTTATTTATTCATTATTTTTTTTTTTATTAACTTTTGTTACCTACACCTCGATTGAGAGCATCTTTCTTTCCTCCCGGCTTGGACGCAGACGATAGTTTGTGCTTTTCAATTTCAGAGATGAATCAAGGTTGCAGTCGCGAGATTTAAATCGTTTCTGCAAGCTGTTTTAAACAAATAATTTAAAAGAACCATTATTTATCACGAACTTTGGGTGAAAAAGCAAACGATTTTTAAGTGGTATTTTGTCATTTAGATCGATGTACGTGGCATCCACTTAGTTTCGAGCAAGGATGCAGAGACATCCCAAACAATTCTGGTTTTTGCAATAGTGGATTAAAAAAATGAAAACAAAATCATATTTTATTATTACTATTAACATAAAATATTAAAATAAATACCTTTCCTCCCTATATAAAAACCTAGAATCTAATTAGCTTGAAATATGCAGATTCTGTGCATTTTTTTATGATACTAAGCAAAAAAAAGGAAATGTTATACCAAAGCTTCACAGCCTTATACTATTGAGGTAAAAGTACGGGTAACACCAGATCGGAATAGTAATCATCATATACTGTTCCCATTTACTAGCCTTCTTTTCTGATTTCAAAGCCACACAGCCAGCTCCGCTGTGTTCAGCAGCTCATCATGTGCATTCCAGGTAGTGCGATCCTAATATTTGATATATCCGAATCAAATAAGTACACTGCGCAAGCAAAATAATAATAATGGTTCAGTGCTATATATTCCGTTCTACTGGGCCGATAGACGAAATTCAAATTGCGTTTTTCATGCCTCGAAAGCGTGACTTAGGATATGTATTAGATAGGGATTTTGACACAAAATCGGACATTTTCAGAAATGACATGCCAATTTTTTCCCATATTTCGATTCTAAGACTTAAATTATGCCAAATTGCGAAGTTTTGTAATATCGCACGAGGAATTTTTAAAAAAATAGGCTCTCAAAATTTTAGTTCCTCAATGTTAATTGAATTTGATATATACTTATTAATATCTCTTTTTTACTATACTTATTTGATTCCTCCTTACATATTTCGAAATTTAGATTCATTCCAAATAAATTCGCCCATTTTTTGTGATTTATTTTTAAAATTTGTATTTTAAAATTATTTTATAATTTTTTCTAAAAACATTTCAAATTCTAACATATAAAATTTTTTTCCATCATTTTAAAGTAGATGTATTTTTGAGCATACCTGCAAAAATTTAAAGGTTTTTATTCGAAATTTCCTAAGATATACGTGCATTTAAATTTTGGTGCGTTTTGGACTTTGGCGTATAAGCGATAATAACGAAAATGTAGTTTACGCACTTTGTTAAAATATTAAAAAGTATGAACGATGACATTTTTTTTTTTTCTGGTCGTGGACAATGATAAAAAGAAAAGGAAAATAGGAAATTCGCCGAGTGAATTATTCTTGGCTTCAAACTGAAAAAAATACGCCAAGATAAAATTTTTAAATGTCTTCATAAATTCCTTACTAAAAATTACAAAATTTAATATCTAGGCATAATTCGAGTCGTAGAATCGAAATATGGAAAAAATTGGTATGCTATTTCGGAAAAAGTCCGATTTTGTGTGAAAATGCCTATGTTAGAGCAATGCTATATATAGCCTAAGTCGCGCTTTCGAGACATGAAAAACGCAATTTGAATTTCCTCAATTGCCTCAGTAGAACGGGAGATATAGAACTGTCCCATTTTTTTTTCTTTGCGCAGTGTACGTCGTAATAGGATAAGAGTAACAATTTGAACTAACTGGGTTTGCACAGGGCTTCATAATATAGTATAACATCTACACTCCTGCCTCCCCCCCCCAAAAAAAAAGAGTGAACTCGAAGACGGTGGTCTGAGTCTCGCGATGTCTACCGATGTAGTTTTACACAGCTTGCCAATACCATTTCAATTGCATATTTGTCGCAGATAGTTTTAGAGACATTAGATGCACGTCTGCTATCAAACGAAAAAAAAAAAGAATAAATAGATTTGGGACTTATCGCTGTATATTTGTATTCCAGACCACGGCATTAAGATAAGGTGAGAGAATTTTTCATCAGGTGCCGCCCATTTTCAAGATGTCTGTGTTCGGGTGGAGGATTACGTTATTCAAAATTCCATTCCTTTCCGTTCAAGAGGTCCATTCCTGATAATTTCGGATTATACAGGTTCGAGTCCCGGCGAGAGCATTGCTCATTTTTCATGTCTCCTGCTTCAAAATAACCTAATGAGTCTACAAAATCTGCGCGTGCAACTGTTAAAACTCTGCCGTGTACGCATGATGCGAATTGGCCATCCTTGATAGATTTTATTATACTTAGAAAGAGCTCTGAAAGTGGAGAACGCAGATTCTTCATTATTTAATTTAAATATAATACAGGGCGATAATATTTGGTGGCAGCAATTTAAAAATGATGCGCCGTTTATAGTGAACCGACGACGAGTCTAATAACCCTTCTGAGCTAACGCTCCTTTGGACTGAAGAAGAGAGCGAGAGAGACAAAGCGAGGAAATATGCATTTCGAAATCTGCTTGTTATTTCCTTATTTATTATTTTGTATTTTTGTTACAAGAATCATCTACTGTGCCTTCTGTTCTGGAAGTCACAGTGTTAAGGACTGTCACGCCAGCAGGCCAACATGCATCAACTGTTCAGACGCCAACTATAAAACACGCAGCACAATGCCATGCAACCATCCGTCCTATGATACCAACTGCCCAACGTATGGACGATACATCGAACGCGTCAGAAGGAACACTCTCTATGAATAATGAACAAGAGCCGAACAGCACGACAACAGCACAAGCGATACGCGGGCCAACCCAAGAAACTTTAAATGCGGAAGCTAATTCTAATCAAGCACAGATAAAGTGCACACAAATTAACTTACAACGGGCGGTAACAGCGACCACGCAGGTAGTCCAGCATGCTCTTCAATATAACTTAGATTTCTTGATAATTCAAGAACCTTATTGTCGCGAGGGCCAAGTGGCAAGTCTACCACTAGCATGGAAAATTTTTCAGAAGAAAGCCAATGCGGAACAAGCACCACGGGCAGCCATTGTCTGCTGCAACCCCTTCTGGTCTCCATACGTAGTAACCATAGAAAGAGATTTCGTTACTATTCTAGTCATCTTTGAAGAGCAGCAATTCCTCCTAACCTCCGTCTACTCCCCGCCCACGGAAGGTCTTACGGATGTGACTTGCAACTTTATACGAGTGAAACAGAAATGCCCAACAGTACCTCACGTCGTTGGAGGAGATTTCAATGCACATAATATATATGGGGCTACCAAGACACAACGCCTAAAGGGCGAGACATGGAAGACTTTATGGCCTGTCACGATCTACATTTACATAATAGTCAAGGGGCACAACCAACCTATGACAATACCTATCATAAAGGATGGCCTGATCTTACACTCTCAACTGCTAATTTTGCCAACAACTTTAGCTCATGGGATGTTCTAGATGATGAGAGTAACTCAGATCATCGATACATCCACTTCACACTAACACTTGAAGCCAGCATTAATATCCTCCAGAGATTCAAACTACCGGGCGGAAAGATACGACGACTGAAGAATGCCTTTCAGGAGCTGCTCATCAGAGAAGAAGACATACTAGAAGAGCTTACCAACCCCCAAGAACTGGATGATTACACAGACCACATTCTGTCATTACTCAGACAAATATGTCAGCAGATCCTCCCTACAAGGACCGCCAAAAAACTCCAAGGCATATCCTGGTGGACGGGAAGACTGAGAGAGATGAAACAGAGGTGCAGAGCTCTGCGCCGCCGCCTCAGATCTGCTACCAACGAAATTGTAGCTTCCAACATCCTTACGGCCTTTCGGCAAGAAAGGGCCGCCTACAAGAAAGCAATTCTTGAAGCTAAAATTAACAGCTGGAGATCTTTCTGCACCAGTAACAGTAATCCATATGGAATTTTACACAAACTGGCAACGCAGAAGATCTTCCAACCAGCGCAAGTACCAGTTCAACCAACAGCACCACATACTATGGACGTAGCGGCCTCCACCGCCAAGGAACTTTTAAATGCTATCTTTCCCACAGATGATACACAAGCAGATACTTCAGAACAGAGGCAAATTAGAGAAGATACAAGCTCGCCATGCACACCGAACGATATACAGTTTTCTGCACAGGAGATACGTAATATCTTCCGGTATCTGCCACTAAAAAAGGCCCCGGGTCCAGACGGACTCGATTACGCAATTATCAAAGTTGCATATCAGGCACGACCATCCTACTTCCATAAATACTACAACCAGCTTCTGCATTATAAAATATTCCCCACAGCTTTCAAAAAAGGCAATGTGGTATTATTTTTAAAAAAAGGATAAAGACCCCCTAGTATCGAGTTCCTTTAGGCCAATTTGCCTTCTGTCGGCGATGGGAAAGATTTACGAGAAGCTCATCGTCAACAGGCTAAAATTTCATCTACATCAATACCAAAGCATTAGCCCAAGACAATTTGGCTTCAAACAAGGCAGTTCTACCACTCATGCCCTGCAGCGAATCCATGAAGTCATAATTCAGAACAAATCGCAGGGCTACCAGACGGCTTTTATATCGATAGATTTGCAAAGTGCGTTCGATACCCTCTGGTGGCCTGCCATCAGGCAGGCCCTCAGAGAGGCAAGATGCCCAAGAAATATCTATCAAGTTCTGGACAACTATCTGGCAGACCGGCAACTGATGATCTCTAACAACAGTAGTACTGTTTCAATAACACAAGTGAGAGGATGTCCACAGGGGTCCTGTGCAGGGCCTCTGCCATGGAACCTCACCTTTAATAAAGTCTTAGAGGCAAGGTGGCCACGACATACTGTGTTAGTTGCATACGCGGACGACGCAGCATTACTGGTCAGAGGCCGCACACGCGCTGAGCTTGAAGCCCATGGCAGTGAATCATGCACTATCTTTGCCAACCATGCACTATCGAAGAGCTAAAACTCAAAATATCCACCACAAAGTCCACTGCTATCATCTTTCCAAGAAAGGGTACAAATCCAACACGTAGCCCATGTATCAAACTACAAGGCCGGACTATTAAGGTCGTAAAAACTTTAAGATACCTTGGGGTAATATGGGACCCAGGTCTGACTTGGCTTCCGCATATCCAGGCACAAAAGATTAAAACATCTGCAATTGCCAGGAGATCACGACAATTCCAAGGCCGGAACTGGGGACGGAATCCCCACATTCAAAAGGTACTTTATAAAACTGTAGCTGAGAAGGTGGCACTCTATGCGGCAGCTATATGGGCACAACCCATGACCGCACGCAAGGTTAAGCAACTCCTATCACTACAGCGCCCATTCGCCATAGGCTTATGCAGAGCCTACCGCACCACTGCAACTTATGCAGCACTCACCTTGGCAGGCATCATACCACTTCATATCCAAGCGGAGCTAGAGGCCACATATACTAAAATAATACATCTACAGAAAGACGCAACCTTTGCAGGCACCTTACATAGCCCTGCAAATTACGAACATCCATGTACTCCTCTCCACACACGCACCCAGCACACAAGGGACTTGGCATTCACACTATCCTCAAACCGTCACGAAGTCAACCAGAAGGAAACCCTAATATGCACGCGTTCTACACAGATGGCTCGAAAACTGCTGAGGGTGTAGGTAGTGCCTTTATATACTACAGGCAAGGCCATGCTGCACACCATTGGAAAGGGCACCTCAATCCAAATAATAGCATTTTTCAAGCAGAAGTAGTTGCCATAACAGCTGCCATTGAATACGTGGCGCTCAACAACATCACACATGTGCAGCTTTATACAGACAGTATGTCGACACTGCTTGCTCTTGACAAACATAGTCACGCCTCCCCGCTGATCATACGACTGCAGCATATCCTAAAAGATAATCGGCACGCACATGTTGACCTAGTATGGATTAAAGCCCATGCAGGTAACATGGGTAATGAGACAGCGGATGAACTCGCTAAAGAGGCTGCTTCGAACCAAAATGCCAGACCGATATCAGTATCAGCACCACCATCTTTCCTCAAAAGTCAACTGCGAAATGCCGCTATCCAGTGGTGGCAAAGAGAATGGGATCAGGGCGACACGGGAAGGAGAGCGCATAGCTTCTTGCCAAAAGTAACCACGGAGCGCCTTATGGCAATTGCTCCCCTTACCAACTTCATTACTGGTCATGGTCCCTTCCCGGATTACTTCTACCGCCGCACCATCTCAACCACGGATCGCTGTGTTTGCGGGGGTGGGGGTGAGGGGTCACCGGACCATTATATCTTTCAGTGCCCACTCACGGAACAGTTCCACTTCCCGATACCAGCCAATATCTCAGCATTTCACAAGTTCCTAGCCAAAAACAGAGCGGCCATAAATAAATCTGCAAAGTAATAACCACCATTGCAGCATATGGCCAAGACCTTTGTCAACCAGAGTAATAGGGCTTACATGCATTACTTGCACTGACATATGCACTCTAATGCTCTACCATCTAATCTCTGACTGCATAGGGTGCAGAAGAAAATTGAACACCATTTTTAGGTGTTTAATTTTCTTCTTTCGTTATAACCTGTTAAGTGTTTTTTTTTTTTTTTTTTTTCAAATGCCAGATGTTAAACAGTTGCCCCTGTATGGCCATGTATCCACACTTATAACTAATTAATAAACTCCAGGGGGAGGACGCGGGACATATGCCTGTTAAACTCTGTTAAACTTCAGGCGTCCCCGTCTTCCGTCACCTGTAGAATATTAGCAGTTAATTGTTTTGCTGTTATGTATTTATAGACGAATATATTCATATATATATATCTTCCAGAAAAAATTTTGAGAGTTCAAAGTTGGAAAATCGTAAAGGATTTTTCTAACGTTAAAGAGTATAATACTGATAATTTCGGATTATGGGCTATGCTTGAGGAATTAATAGTTTTCCAGAGTCGTAGCTAGGGTTTTCAGCGCCAGGGACAACTGAAGATTTCGCGACCCCTACTGCTTGCCAAGGATGGAAAACATTCAATTCTAAAATGTCGTTACATCAGTTGGGCGCCCCTTGGATTCTGCGCCCGGGAACAGATCCCCCCCCTTGCCACGCGCCTGCAATTTTCTCAGATGAAGAAGTACAAACTTGAAAATTTATCCCTTCAAAATTCTTAAAACCTTTTTATGTCTTGCTTACAGAATTTTGAAGTTTCCTGATAAATATCTTATTTCAGTTTCATTATAAATATTTTATAATACAGTTGGAAACAGTGCGGAAAAAAAAATGATTATTTAAAAATTCAAATTCAGATTGTATTGAATGAACTTTTTTTTAGAGATACTGAACTATTTAATAATTTGTATTAAATAATGTTTTCGACGGTTAGTATTTAAATATTTAACGTTAAAGAAGTAATTTTCTTACGAGAAGAAGCGGATGGTTTTCTTCTCTGTTCAAAAATGGAGTAATCCCCAGAACACTCAAATAAATACTTAGATAAAATACTGCGAGGAAGGCGGGGGAATTAAAAAAAAAGACATGTTGTATATATAACAGTATGTTAGATATAACATTATAAACATCTTTCTGCATAATACTACAGATATTCAACAATGATTATATGCTGATTAAGACAGGTTAAGAATTTTAATTTAATCGCACAGATAATGAAAATAATAAATTAAAGTTTTAAGCTATTAAATATTAAAAATTACTTTAGTTCAGAAGATAAAATTTATATTTTATATCAAGTAAATTTGCGGTACTCTGAGATCACTCATTTAAGATATCGAAGGAAAAGTAAATCAAAGATCTTATGTAATGTGTTGCCAACATTGCGAGTTATGTGTGTGGCAACTTAACATAGCCGTTTACACACTTTTATACTGACTAAAAATAAGTTAAATTTTTAAGAACCGAAACGGGAGTTATTCTGCTACCGATCTTTCAGTCCTAGAATGGCCACTTTATCTCCCAGAATTAATTCCTAGAATCGCCACTTTATCTCCCAGAATTAATTTCCCTTACCCAGTTCTCTTCTACAGCCGTTTGCTCTTCCGTAACGGAAGCCAGTTTCAATGCTTAAGTGTGGCGTCGTCACTTTCCTGAAATTCAAACCATTTTAAACATTTGTTAGGATTTAATTAAAACACTCTCCTTCCCACCAAATGCCACTCGAGCGTTGCTACAGAAAATCAAATATTTCTCATCACCTTCTTTTAATGAAATAAATGAACACAGGATTTTGGGAGAAAAATTCTCCATATTTTAATAACAAAGGATTTGCACTTCGCGCCCGGCAGCTTTATAGGTAACTGGGCTGCGTTGTTGGTTCCAAATGGATAGTGAAATGCGACCCACATATGTTAGGAGCGTTAAATGAATTTAATAAATTCCTAGTGAATATAAAAAGAAGAAGAAACGGGGGAAATCTTTCAAATGACAACTCTCAGGACTGCTATGACTGCACTAAGGGACAGATATCATTGGCTTAGCATGGTTTTGCTGCTGGTAAGTTCATAATTGTTTTAAGCAGGCTGTTTAGGTAGCTGTTCTTGTGCTTTTAACAGGAGAGGTAGTATTTTATCTCGAAGAAAAGTAAACTTTATTAACCCTTTGCACTCGAGGTCTTTTTCGCTTGGGCGAATCAGCAGTTCGAGACGGATTTCCACACATTTCATAAATTTCTTACAGCTAATTTAAAATTATTTCACACACAGTTGTAAGAAATATAATGGTTCTCTTATGTCTGAATATACTTGCGATCTTGTGGTTATTTCGCGGGATACAAACGATATTCTTTGCAATATTTCTTTCGTTCCTGTGCTCGTTGTCCATTCTCAATTTCCTCTCTTTTCTGCTGAATCACTGTCGCTTTCATTTTCACTATTCTATCGCATCGAATTTTGGCCTTCTTACACCTGTTACTTCATCGTAATATTTACTGCTTTCCTTCTCTCTATCGTTAAATAGTCTATGCTTATACATAATTTCATTCTTCATTAGCGAAAAATAGAATTCATTTCCACTTAAGTCGATCTACTGTCGAGTTCGAACTAACTTCGAAGACACATGTGGTAATAAATCTAAAAAACTTAGTTAAGAGTAAAGATTGGCAGTTATTTTATACGCATGTATTTATGGTGATTTCCGGTTATGTTTTACCACCAATCCTCGAATTCCATATCACAGATTATGTTCGTACTGCATTAATATAAATATTAACAAGACTTAGTGCACAATAAAAGTTAAACTTTATTTAGGAACTTCGCGCACACTGCCCGACAGCCTGCCTGTTTCGCTCTGCTCGCTACTCGTAAGAAACTTCTCCTCTAGGGTTGCCACACTTATCGGAGGGCGCAAGGCGCGCTCCTTATCGCCATCACCACAGAGTTTCCCCCCAGTTCCTTTAATGGCTATTCAAAGGAACGACATAGGTTATGAAATTATCTCAGAGTATCCGTACTGTCGGGTATTTTTTTTTTTTCATGATTACAAAATTAGAATATAAAATTAGAAAAGATCAAAATGCAATTCAATATATAACAAGGTATTGACACATATAATAAAAATGAAATAACAAAAAATATTGTTAAGATATGAATTTTAAAAAAAAGGTTTTAAATTGTTATGTAAGAAGCAAGTTTCTTAGGGAAGTGAACATGTCTTCCCGATCTGGTGACAGTTTGTGTCTTAGAGAGTTCGTTTGCAGATTTATTCTGCTGAACTGTCTTTAAGTCTTTATTTGTTTTCAGTTCAGGCAAATTAGAGTCCGAAAGCAAATAGGCTGGTTTCACACGGTCTATAGACACAGTAGATTTCAGACCGTTAATATCAATTGTGAAAGTTTTGTCCGTTCTAGAAAGGACTTTATGCGGACCTGTATATGGTTGGCACAGAGGTGGCTTTACTCGATCGACACGTAAGTATACATGCGTACACGACTTTAAGGTAGCACTTTACGTAACATTTTTCTTGGCAATGTGCAGATGTTGCTATTGGATTCAACTGTTGCATTCTATGCCGAAGATTCGTGATAAATTGTGTGTCATACGGAGATATCTTAGATGACGTTATCATATCACTAGGCAGCTTGAGAGTTGTGCCGTACACCAGTTCAGCACAAGATGACTGTAGATCTTCCTTTACGGCTGTCCGAATACCAAGCATAACAACTGGTAGTGTTTCAGTCCAGTTATTGGTCTCGTGAGCCTTGAGAGAAGATTTTAAATGTCGATGAAATCGTTCAACAATGCCGTTTGGACATTGGATGATAGGCTGTTGTTGTGATTCTGTTCGTACCCAAAATGCGCGTGAAATTCTTGCAAAAAGTGCGGATCTCATTTGAGAACCTTGGTCTGTTGTTATGATCGATGGGCAGCCAAAACGAGATATCCAACAGTTGAAGATGGCTCTGCAAATGGTTTCCGTTTTCATATCCGGGATGGGAATGGCTTCAGGCCATCTGGAGAATCTATCTATTAGAGTCAAAAGGTACACATTGCCTTCTGATGGAGGTAACGGTCCGACGATATCCATATGGATTTCTGAAAAACGTGCATCAGGAAGAGAGAATGTGCCCAGTGGTGCTTTAGTATGCCTAGTAATTTTCGATTTTTGGCAAGATTCACAGGATTTCACCCAATTTTTGATATGACGTTTCATATCGGGCCATACATAACGAAAACAAATAAGCTTCGTAGTAGCTGCAATTCCTGGATGTGACAGATTATGCAGATGATTAAAGATGAGTCTGCGAAAGGAATTCGGAACAAATGGACGAGGAATGTCTGTTGATATGTCACAAAGAATATTACCATCAGAATATTGGCACGGTTTAAATTCCAGTTTCAAAGATGATGTGTTGTTTTTGAGAAGGTCTTGTACCTCCGGATCATGCCGTTGAGCTTCCGAAAATTTTTTAAAATCCAAAAATGGAGATTTTGTTATGGAATCAATTTCGATTCTTGAAAGAACGTCAGCAACGACGTTTTTTGAACCTTGCACATGCCTAATATCAGTAGAGTACTGAGAAATAAAATCTAAATGTCGCAATTGTCGAGGTGAACATTTATGAGGGTTCTGTTTAAAAGCGTATATTAACGGTTTTTGATCCGTATAAATTATAAAATTTCTGCCCTCTAACATGTGTCAGAATTTCTTAATTGCAGAATAAATTGAAAAAATAATTCCCTATCGTACGCGGACCATTTCTGTTGACTTTTATTGAGTTTCATAGAGAAAAATGCTATAGGTTCCCATGTTTGTTGAGACAACTGCATAAGTGTGCCGCCGATTGCGACGTCTGAGGCATCTACCCAGATGCTTAGCTGGGCTCCGGGAATAGGGTGTCTCAAAAGGGTAGCCTGAGCAATGGCATTTTTGGCAGCAATAAAGGCTTGTTCAGCATTCTCGTTCCAATTTAATTGTGGGGATGAATCCTGAACACGAGAACGAGATTTCTTTTTTAATATAGCCTTCTAACAATTTTATTAAAGGAGAAAGAATATGTGCTGCTTTAGGTATGAAACATCTAATAAAGTTAAACATGCCTAAAAATCGGCGAAGCTGAGTGAGAGTGGTAGGTTGAGGAAAATCTAAAATACATTTGACTTTGTCAGGAAGAGGTTCAATTCCGTTTTCACTAAGGTGAAAACCTAAGAAATCAATAGATGTTTGACCAAAGGTGCATTTTGAAACATTTATGCAAAGTCCATATTCCTGAAGTTTGGAAAATAAAGCTTTCAAATGCCTGCAATGTTCCTCAGAATCTTTAGAGGCTATGAGCAAGTCATCGACGAAAGCGTAAACGCCTTCTAAATCCCGCGTGACTTCATCTATAAAACGTTGAAAAGTCGCGGATGCATTGCATAAGCCGAATTGCATACGGGTACTTTCGAATAAACCGAATGGTGTGCATATGGCGGTTTTGTGGATGTCGGCTGGGTTAATTGGTATTTGATGGTATGCCTTAATCAGGTCGACATGACTAAAAATTTTAGTACCGTGCAATGCAGCAGTAAAATCGGCTAAGCATGGAATAGGGTATTTGTCTTTTATCGTTTGAGCGTTCAATGCTCGATAATCTCCTACAGGTCTCCATTCCAGACTTCCCTTTTTTGGAACCATGTGAAGTGGGGATGCATAATTGCTGCTCGAAGGTCTCAAATGCCCCAATTGCATCATAGTTTGAAATTCTTGTTTTGCTATTTTTAAGCGATCTGGAGCTAACCGACGAGGTTTTGCAACCACAGGTGGACCTTTAGTTATGATATAATGAACGGTGTTAGTGTTTAACAGGTTGGTTAGGATCTGGTAATCTAGTAACTGAAGGAAATTCTTTTAAAATTTTGTGATATGGTGTATCACTAAATACAGTTTTTACTGAATAAATGCTTGCATTTTTCACGCAACCGACGGTTTTAAAATGCGTTTTTAAATCTTTGAGACATTTGTTTCTGAGATCAGGCACCAATTCAAAGAAATGGAGAAAATCTGCTCCAAGAATGGGTGTACTAACATTTGCTATAAGAAAAGTCCATGTAAACTGTCGTCTTAATTTGAAATCCAAAGAAAGTGTTTTTGACCATAAACATGAATAGTAGAAGAATTAGCAGCGAAAAGTGTTTGTTGGGACGAATTCCGTTTTTGAGAATTATTTGCTGGAAGTAAGGACACGTCAGAGCCGGTATCGACCAAGAATGAAAGGTTTGTTCTACGGTCACGAACGAACAGGCGACGTGAAACTTGAGGCAAAGAATAAGTCGCCTCTATTCTTTGCTGGTTTCGTTTCCCTGCCATGAACAAGGTTTTGTACATTTGTCATCTCTACACTTTTTCCCAAAACGTCTATGATACCAGCAAACAGAATAATCTCTCCTTTTGGAATTGCTTCTTTCCTTATTGCGATCTCCGCGATTTGGCGAGCGACCACGAGAAAGAGAAATGCGATCAATACGTTTGTTTAATTTTTCTATTTGTTTAAATAATTTATCCTCAAGAGACTGATCGACTGTGCGAGAAACGGCACAAGTCCCTGGGGTTGGATTTACTTCTAAAATTCTGTCGGCAATTTCTGCAGCTTTATCTACAGTTAAATTGGAAACCGCTGCCAAAAATAGACTGAACAGTCGAAGGCAAACGTTGAAGGAATAATTCTAACATTAAGTTATCAGGAACATTTAAAGATTCTGCTCGACGTTTCATATTTAAGCAAATCGGAAGGTTTTCGAAGAACATAATTCTCTCCAGATAATAATTGGCGAATTTCTTGCTGAGAAGATTCTCCTGAACGATTTATTAACTCAGTTTTAAGCTTTGCATATGGATCAATAGGGTCTGGTTTCATAAGTAAATCCCGTACTAGTGATGCGATATCTGGAGGAAGATGAGAAACTACATAATTATATTTAGTAATGGATTCTGTGATAGGTTTGGGGGTGGCAAGAGCAAAGGTACTTTCACACAATAATAAACATGGGTCATATAAACCGGGTCTGATTGGTTAAATT